AGAGGTGCCCCAAGTGGGGCTGAGCCTGGGGACCATCCCTGAGGGCCAGCAGAGCTGCAGGTCTCAGCCCCTCTGGGAAGCAACCACCCCCAGTACCCCAGCCCCGTGTCCAGGTTTGGGTTCCACTGGAGGTTCTCACCTCCTCTTACCTGTTCAGGCCATTTCTTCTGGCTCTCAAAGACCACAGTGGCTTCAGCTTGTCCTCCCTGTTTGGAGGCTGTGGGGACATGGTCCCCAGCCACCTGTGGCCAAGTAGCCAGAAGATGGGGGGGACAGAGGCTCTGGAGGGGGCAGTGGGGGCTGGATGCAGCACTGCCCCACACCTGAGAGGGACGTGGATGGATTTGAGTAAGGACAAGGCCAGCCCTGGTGGTGTCAGAGGAGGCAAAGACATGGGGCAATCTGAGAGCAGGGATGAAGTGGGACACTCAGGGACATGTCCATGGTGGCATTTTCCCCCTTCCTGAGCTGTGGCTGAGGATGTGCCTCCCAGGAGGCCATGGGGAAGCTTTTCCAAATGCTGGGTCTGCAGCCACAGAGACCTGGGGAGCTCCTTGCACTTCCCAGGGGCTCACCACCAACCCTGCTCAGTGGAGGTCAGGGTGGTATTATGGTGTGCAGACCAGCTTTGGGCAGATGGGACCCAGTGCTGACTCCAGCTCTAGGCCAAAATCCCCCTGAATCTCTCCGAGTTTCTGGGAAGGGAAACCATGGCATCTGTGAAAGCAGCTGCCAAGCACCATGTCCCCCAAAACATGGGCAAACACAACTACCCAAAGGCAGTGTGAGGAACTTCAGAACAGATCTGCCCCACGTTGCTCCTCAGATCTGGCCAACGTTGCAGCCTTTTGTCTTATCCAGCAACAGTGAAACACAAGGGGGATACTGGGAGACACTTAAGCTGTCCCCACTGCAATGGTGCCACCTCAAGTTGGGGTGTGATGGCACAGGCCAAGGGAGAAATTGAGCTGGAAGTTGGACATGGGGTCTCCAGCCCACCTTTGGAGCTCCTCTGCCTCCATTGAACCATAACGAATGGAGGGATGTTGTTTCCCAGTGAGGTGTGGACCATGGAGAATGTGATGTCCCTTTGGGGGCCTACCTGGCTGGACCTCAGGGGAGGGATTTAAGTCACCTGGAGAAGATAGTGGCCACCTCTGTCAATGGCTTTTGGCTTGGGTTGTGTGCTGGGCAAACAGAGAGGCTGGTGGTGCCCCAGGGAAGCATTGTAGTGGGACATACAGGGAAGTGCTCCCCACCGCTGCTGAACATGACTGATGAGACGCAAGTTGTTCCCAGAAAAGGTCTCTGACGTGGGACAGCTGACGTGGGACAGCTGGAAGAACATGCTAACGACTTATGGGCCACTTGCAATCCTCCAGAACTCCCGGGCCCCTCTCAGTGAGCTGCTGTCTGGCCTGTCGGCCAAGACCCCGCTGTTTCACAGGAACCTTCTCCTGCTCCGATTGCAGGGCGTTGCATCACGCTGCCCCCGGGGATGCGTCAAGCCCTGACGGTGCCCTGCTGCTGGCCACCACCATCGGACGTGGCTGATAAGAGACACGAGACAGCCGTCAGACAGAAAAGGTCTTTGTCCTTGAAATACCCAGTGCCGTCCCTGGGAGGGGGCAGATCAGGCCCTGCCCGGCGTGGCAGGGGGATGCTGGCTCCATGATGCCCTGGAAGGGCTCTGGGGGCACTGACCCTGTTGCCAGCCCCCACGGGGAAATAAACTTTTCCTTTCCCATCTTTGAAACCAATCAGAACTGCGGGTTTATTTATATCTGTTTAACAACATCTAATTAAACAGAAAGCAGTGCCCCGGGCGCGCAGGCCTGGTGTCAGGAAGACAAGAGATAAAGTACAGTTTCAACCGAAATGTTAAATAAATAAGAAACTCCAAATAGTCTGCTCTACCCCGTCCCCAGAAGCCCTAAGCACACACCACCCCAAGGACGGGTGGGCTGCCAGCACCCCCAGACCTCCTGGGGGGCAGGTTCCCTGCCTGCACCCCCCGGCCTTTGGATTCGGGGGTGCTCTGGCCTCTCGGGCGGGTGCCAGGGGGAAGCACCCCACAAATTCACACCCGCAGCCACCCCCCACGTCTGGCTCCCTGGTGGGCCAAGTTGGCCGTGAGCCATCAAGGTGGCCTCAGGACACAGACAGCCACCAGCCTCCCGGGAGGAGGTGGAGGGAGGGGATCACAGGATGATATGGGGTTGGAAGGGACCTCTGGAGATCATCTAGTCCAACCCCCCCAACCAAAGCAGGTCCACCCAGAGAGCAGGATGCACAGAAACGTGTCCAGGCGGGTTTTGAACGTCTCCAGAGAAGGAGACTCCACCACCTCTCTGCCCAGCTTGTTCCAGTGCTCTACCACTCTCACAGGGAAGAAGTTCCTCCTCACGTTTAGGTGGAACTTCTTATACTCCTCCTTCCCCTCTGCTCAGCTCTGGGTGCTGGCTCCAGTCTGGGCTCCCCAGTACAAGAGAGACATGGACATACTGGAGAGAGTCCAGCAAAGGGCCATGGAGGGGATGAAAGGACTGAGAGAACTGGGACTGTTGAGCCTGGAGAAGAGAAGGCTCAGGGGGATCTTATCCATGGGTACAGAGACCTAATGGGGCGTGTGGAGAAGATAGAGACAGCCTCTTCCCACTGGTGGCCCAGTGACAGGACAAGAGCCAATGGGCACAAACGGAAACACAGGAAATCCCACCTGAACATCAGGAAAAAAACCCTCCCTTTTTCTTCCAGTGGGGGTGGTCAGACACTGGCCCAGGCTGCCCAGAGAGGTGGTGGAGTCTCCATCCCTGGAGATCCCCAAAACCCAACTGGACATGGAACTGGTGCTGACCCTGCTTGAGCAGGTGTTGGACTAGATCGTCTCCAGAGGTACCTTTCCAACGCTGACCCTGGCTCTGTCCCTGCCCGGTGCCCCTCATGCCGTCAGCCCAGGAGCTGGCTGCAGGCTGCTCATGGCATCCAACTGGGAGGATGCTCTGCCAGGCCTGGATGGAGGTTGAGATGTCAGCAGAGCTGCTTCCAGCAGTGTCCTACAGGCTTTGACTCCTGCCATTGCCCCTCCATGGTCTCTCCCTCCCACCTGGGAGCTTTCATGCTTCCTTTCATGCTTGGTTTTAAAAGTCCCTTGGTCACTACTCAATCCATCTGAGGGTCATCTTCCCCCTTAACCAGTTTGGAGTAAATACCCTTCTGACAAGGGTCACCTGTTCATTATCACCTTCTGCATTTAGCAGGGGTTGTCATCAAGTCCACTTGCCATGGGTGGGCTGTATAAGCCCCTCACACCAGCTCTGAAGAAGGAGGGTGGCTGGGACAGGGCCCACAGGGGACTCTCTCTCTGGATAAACCCCTCACTTGGTGTTCTTCCTCCCTCCTCAGAACTTCCCAAACCAAAGGCCTGCAGCCTGCCCACACTGGGGACAGGTGCTTCACCTGCTCTTCTGGTGCTTCAAAAGCAGTGTGGATGGTGGAGACAGGATGGGATGGGTTGGGACAGACCCCACCACCTCCTTTCCCTGCTGCCCTGCTCATGGCGTGGGGGACGCAGCGTTACCTCTGGCCAGCTCGGGTGAAGGCCATGGGGAGGCCGGGCCAGGACAGATTGCACAGAGCCTGGGACATGGTGCAGCCAAGTCCCAGCTGGGCTGGAGCCAAGCCCAGCCCCATGGCTGTCCAGCCTGGCCCAGGGCTGGCAGGAGAGGACAGCAGAGGAGGGACATGCCCCAGCCCTGCATAAAAAGCCCTCGGTGGGGACGGAGAGCAGACAGCACCCCAAGAAGAGCCCAGAGCAGCACAGTCAGAGCCGTGAAAGCAGAACCATGGAGCAGTACTTCTCAGCCACCCAGAAGATGGAGCAGGAGGTGATGTTCCCCAGCCTGCTCCGAGGGGTCTTCCCGCAGCAGGAGGGGGCGGCCCCGGCCACGGGCGGCCACACGGACCTCTATGAGCGCTACCAGCTCCTCAAGTCCATCAAGCCCATGGTGGAGAAAGGGCTGGCCTCTGTCAACGACCAGAGCCCAACCAGCACTGACGCTGATACAGCCTTAGATGAGGGTGCAGACAACAATCTGGAAGAGCGTCTCTCCCATCACGTCAACGGCTTGCAGCAGGTTCTGACAGACCTCACCAAAAACACCAAAGCCCTCACCCGGAGGTACAGCCAGATCCTGGAGCAGATCAACCTGGGTGAAGATCAGTCCAGCTCTTGAGCCTGCACCCCCAGCCTCTGAGGTAAGAGCTTGGGGAGGTGCAGTGCCAAGGAGAAGCTGGCTTAGGGGTATCATACTTTGCCCTCTTGCCCCATCAGTTGGGTGGTTTTCCAATGTTTGCATAACACCCTCAAATCCCAGGAGTTATGAGTCTGCATTGCTCAACAGATACATGCTCCTGGATTTGTCTTTCTCAATTTCCCACTGGTGCAAGCTGTGCCACCAAGCAAAGGTCATCTTGTGAGCTCCACTTTGTCCCCAAGACACCTCAGCTCGCAGCACAGGCAACGTCTGCTGCTCTGCAGGCACAAAAGATCCCAGGGTCAAAAGGGTTAGGTGGTTGGAGAACCCTGAGCTCTGGACTCCGGAGGTGCCAGAGGTGCTTCTCTGCCTGTTTCTATTTTTTTTCTCTGATGGAAAAATGCAACAGAGTCATTTTAGGGAGCAAGCCAGCACTTTCAGGTCTCCAAATGTCTAAATTTGACACGCCACCTGCAAACACCTCAGACGCTTCAATCTTCCCCTAGCCTGGAGAGCAAACACAATCTCTATGCTGCTGGGACTTTCATCCCTGAGACCCCTTGGGGAGACATCCCTGTGTTCCACCAGAGAAAGGGCTCATGGCCAAAGTCCCAGAGTGTAGAGAGGTGACAGCAACAAGAGCAAGTGTTAGCAGGGACTTTACAGCGTTAACCCTTGTTTTGGGAGGAAACCCAGCCAGGAAGGAGGACACCCTGGCCATACCGTGTTTGTTATCCCCACAGGGTGATCTGTTGTCCGCAGCCCAGCGGCATGTTTTTGTCTCCTGCGCCAAGTCCCACCGAGGAACATCCTTCGTGAGCAGCGCAGAGCTTGGTCATCTGCCCGCCGGGCGCTGCCTGTACCGTCCACCTCGTCCTGCGGCCCGTCCTGCTGGCCACCTCGTTGCTTCATCCCACCCCTGTCCCAGGGGGATTTCTGTGGGGGCAGGAGCGAGTGTTTCGTGTTATTGCTTTGTAGAAGACATCTGTAACTTTGAAGTGAGGCTTTTTTTCCCCTTTCCCCCCCCGCCCCCCGCTGTGCGTGCCTAAACCCTCCCAATCAGTCTCTTTGAGAATGTAAATAAAACACAAAGCGTTGTGCAAGCGTGTCCTGTGTTTCCTACCAGCTGCCACTTCTGTACAGCTACCGTCCCCCAGCCCATGAGGACGGGGGGGACCTTGGCCACCGAGGCCAAACTTCAGTGCGGGGGGGTGATCTGATTTTCTCCCTCGGGGAGTGGGAACTGGGTTTGCGTCGGGATGGAAGTTCCCCCAGCCCTCTGGCTCTCAGGCCTTGCAAAATGTTGGTGTAATCCCAAAATCTTCTGTACAGCTACTGTCCCCCAGCCCATGAGGATGGGGGCGGACCTTGGCCACCGAGGCCAAACTTCAGTGCAGGGGGGTGATCTGATTTTCTCCCTCGGGGAGTGGGAACTGGGTTTGTGTTGGGACGGAAGTTCCCCCAGCCCTCTGGCTCTCACGCCTTGCAAAATCTTGGTGTAATTCCAAAATCTTGGTGTAACCCTGACATTATTCAGTGCTGGGATCCCAGCCTGCTCCTCAGTATCCTTCTTTCCCTCCCCAACATCCCCTCCTCTTCTGGAGTCCCAACTTCTCAGCTCCCCAACCCAATTGCAGCCCACGCTCATCCAGCCCTTCAGACCCATCACCGTCTTCACCACACGCAGCTCTGGGGACAACCTGCTGCATCCACCTCCAGCCCCAGCGACACCAAGGAACAAGTCTACCTCCTCCCCACTTGGCCATGGCACCCTCTGGAGCCGGGGGCAGAGGAGGAGGTGGGGATGCTCATCTGGGGTGGGTAGGAAGGCAGGGCTTCGCATGCCTTCAATCCCTGTGATGTGTGGGGAGAGTAAAGCCCTCACTGGGTGGGTGGGCAGGGGCTGCAAGCCTTTCTCAGGGGTGTTGGAGCCCTCAGCAGAGTTTAGGTCCCACCTCCAGGTGACTCCTTCCCTCCCACACACACCACCCTGGGGAAGTCTTACGGAGTCAGGCACTACGGGGAGGTGTCCCCTTCATTCTTCAGGCCATTTTAAAACAAATTCAGCTGTTGAAACAGTGCTGTGTTGACTGAACAAACACTGGTCCTCCATCAGCTTTGCACTTTTGATTTAAGAAACCAGAGATCTCTAGGCATCAGTGGTGCGAGGAGGATTGTGAGCATGCCCTGGGCTGCAGGCTCCAGTTGTGTTGCTGCACACGCTCTCTGAATCTGCTGAAATCAGAGCCTAAATCAGCTCTAAAAGTCTCAGTTTAAAACGAGCAAATGTTCTGCAGAGGGTCCTCTGTTTTCTTCCCATCCCCTGGAGGCAGCTCCACACCTTGGTTGTGAGTTGGTGTTCATGTTAACCCCTTCAGTGGGGCCCTGATTGCTCAGCAGCACTTTGAAACTCCACAATGCCCTAAAGAAATAAATAAAGGAGGAGATAAAGATGGGGAGAAGAGAAAACTGTTGTATCTAGTTTGGGTTCTTGCTTCAGAAAAACCTACAACCTAAGCTGAATATGATATAAACATGGGAATGAACTCAATGGGCATGAGGATCAAGAGAATAATGTAGTGTCTTGGGAATGTGAACACTGATGGGCCTGTTGGGTTGTTCTAACCAATGGCAATATGGTGGTGGTGAAGTCTACATCCCGAGGATGACTCCCCCGATTCATCCACTGGGGATGGCCCATGCCCTTGCTTGGCCAGAAGGCATTTTCATAGAATCACAGAATGGTTTGGTTTGGAAGGGACCTTAAAGATCATCGAGTTCCAACCCCCTGCCATGGGCAGGGACACCTCCAACCAGACCAGGTTGCTCAAAGCCCCATCCAGCCTGGCCTTGAACCCCTCCAGGGATGGGGCAGCCACAGCTTCTCCGGTCAACCTAGAGTGTTGACCAGAGTCAACACAACCTAGGGTGTCTCACCACCCTCACAGGAAAGAATTTCTTCCTAATATCTAATCAAAATCTCCCCTCTTTCAGTTTAAAACCATTCCCCCTTGTCCTATGACTCCAGTCCCTGATCAAGAGTCCATCCCCATCTCTCCTGGAGCCCCTTTAGGGACTGGAAGGTTGTTATAAGGTCTCCCCGGAGCCTTCTCTTCTCCAGGCTGAACACCCCCAACTCTCTTAGCCTGTCCTCACAGCAGAGGGGCTCCAGCCCTTGGAGCATCTTTGTGGCCTCCACTGGAGCTATTTCAATAGGTCCATCTCCTTCCTGTGCTGAGGACATTGGAGCTGGAGGCAGTGCTCCAGGCGGAGATCTCCCCAGAGCGGAGTAGAGGGGTAGAATCCCCCACCTCGTCCTGCTGGCCACGCTTTTTTTGATGCAGCCCAAGATGCCAGGGGCTTTCTGGGCTGCCAGCGCACATCACTGACTCACATTGAGCTTCTTGTCCATCATTTTTCTCCCTTCGCTTCTGACAGTGCCCTGGGGCCTGTCCAAAGCCTGCTCAGATCCCAATACAAGCCACCAGCCATGGATTCCCCAAGTCTGTGAAGGTGGGTGGAGCTGATAAACGTCTGGAAGGCAGTGGGTGGAAATGCCGGTGGTGTTTGCACAGCCCGTGGCTGTTTGATTTAGGAGTGGCTCCTGGGCTGCGCAACAATCTGGAAGAGCGTCTCTCCCATCACGTCAACGGCTTGCAGCAGGTTCTGACAGACCTCACCAAAAACACCAAAGCCCTCACCCGGAGGTACAGCCAGATCCTGGAGCAGATCAACCTGGGTGAAGATCAGTCCAGCTCTTGAGCCTGCACCCCCAGCCTCTGAGGTAAGAGCTTGGGGAGGTGCAGTGCCAAGGAGAAGCTGGCTTAGGGGTATCATACTTTGCCCTCTTGCCCCATCAGTTGGGTGGTTTTCCAATGTTTGCATAACACCCTCAAATCCCAGGAGTTATGAGTCTGCATTGCTCAACAGATACATGCTCCTGGATTTGTCTTTCTCAATTTCCCACTGGTGCAAGCTGTGCCACCAAGCAAAGGTCATCTTGTGAGCTCCACTTTGTCCCCAAGACACCTCAGCTCGCAGCACAGGCAACGTCTGCTGCTCTGCAGGCGCAAAAGATCCCAGGGTCAAAAGGGTTAGGTGGTTGGAGAACCCTGAGCTCTGGACTCCGGAGGTGCCAGAGGTGCTTCTCTGCCTGTTTCTATTTTTTTTCTCTGATGGAAAAATGCAACAGAGTCATTTTAGGGAGCAAGCCAGCACTTTCAGGTCTCCAAATGTCTAAATTTGACACGCCACCTGCAAACACCTCAGACGCTTCAATCTTCCCCTAGCCTGGAGAGCAAACACAATCTCTATGCTGCTGGGACTTTCATCCCTGAGACCCCTTGGGGAGACATCCCTGTGTTCCACCAGAGAAAGGGCTCATGGCCAAAGTCCCAGAGTGTAGAGAGGTGACAGCAACAAGAGCAAGTGTTAGCAGGGACTTTACAGCGTTAACCCTTGTTTTGGGAGGAAACCCAGCCAGGAAGGAGGACACCCTGGCCATACCGTGTTTGTTATCCCCACAGGGTGATCTGTTGTCCGCAGCCCAGCGGCATGTTTTTGTCTCCTGCGCCAAGTCCCACCGAGGAACATCCTTCGTGAGCAGCGCAGAGCTTGGTCATCTGCCCGCCGGGCGCTGCCTGTACCGTCCACCTCGTCCTGCGGCCCGTCCTGCTGGCCACCTCGTTGCTTCATCCCACCCCTGTCCCAGGGGGATTTCTGTGGGGGCAGGAGCGAGTGTTTCGTGTTATTGCTTTGTAGAAGACATCTGTAACTTTGAAGTGAGGCTTTTTTTCCCCTTTCCCCCCCCGCCCCCCGCTGTGCGTGCCTAAACCCTCCCAATCAGTCTCTTTGAGAATGTAAATAAAACACAAAGCGTTGTGCAAGCGTGTCCTGTGTTTCCTACCAGCTGCCTCTTCTGTACAGCTACTGTCCCCCAGCCCATGAGGATGGGGGCGGACCTTGGCCACCGAGGCCAAACTTCAGTGCAGGGGGGTGATCTGATTTTCTCCCTCGGGGAGTGGGAACTGGGTTTGTGTTGGGACGGAAGTTCCCCCAGCCCTCTGGCTCTCACGCCTTGCAAAATCTTGGTGTAATTCCAAAATCTTGGTGTAACCCTGACCTTATTCAGTGCTGGGATCCCAGCCTGCTCCTCAGTATCCTTCTTTCCCTCCCCAACATCCCCTCCTCTTCTGGAGTCCCAACTTCTCAGCTCCCCAACCCAATTGGTACCTCCACATCTCTTCCCTCGGCCTACACTCATCCAGCCCTTCAGACCCATCACCATCTTCACCACACGCAGCCCTGGGGACAACCTGCTGCATCCACCGCCAGCCCCAGCAACACCAAGGAACAAGTCTGCCTCCTCCCCACTTGGCCATGGCACCCTCTGGAGCCGGGGGCAGAGGAGGAGGTGGGGATGCTCAGCTGGGGTAAGTAGGAAGGCAGGGCTTCGCTTGCCTTCAATCCCTGTGATGTGTGGGGAGAGTAAAGCCCTCACTGGGTGGGTGGGCAGGGGCTGCAAGCCTTTCTCAGGGGTGTTGGAGCCCTCAGCAGAGTTTAGGTCCCACCTCCAGGTGACTCCTTCCCTCCCACACACACCACCCTGGGGAAGTCTTACGGAGTCAGTAAAGCCCTCACTGGGTGGGTGGGCAGGGGCTGCAAGCCTTTCTCAGGGGTGTTGGAGCCCTCAGCAGAGTTTAGGTCCCACCTCCAGGTGACTCCTTCCCTCCCACACACACCACCCTGGGGAAGTCTTACGGAGTCAGGCACTACGGGGAGGTGTCCCCTTCATTCTTCAGGCCATTTTAAAACAAATTCAGCTGTTGAAACAGTGCTGTGTTGACTGAACAAACACTGGTCCTCCATCAGCTTTGCACTTTTGATTTAAGAAACCAGAGATCTCTAGGCATCAGTGGTGCGAGGAGGATTGTGAGCATGCCCTGGGCTGCAGGCTCCAGTTGTGTTGCTGCACACGCTCTCTGAATCTGCTGAAATCAGAGCCTAAATCAGCTCTAAAAGTCTCAGTTTAAAACGAGCAAATGTTCTGCAGAGGGTCCTCTGTTTTCTTCCCATCCCCTGGAGGCAGCTCCACACCTTGGTTGTGAGTTGGTGTTCATGTTAACCCCTTCAGTGGGGCCCTGATTGCTCAGCAGCACTTTGAAACTCCACAATGCCCTAAAGAAATAAATAAAGGAGGAGATAAAGATGGGGAGAAGAGAAAACTGTTGTATCTAGTTTGGGTTCTTGCTTCAGAAAAACCTACAACCTAAGCTGAATATGATATAAACATGGGAATGAACTCAATGGGCATGAGGATCAAGAGAATAATGTAGTGTCTTGGGAATGTGAACACTGATGGGCCTGTTGGGTTGTTCTAACCAATGGCAATATGGTGGTGGTGAAGTCTACATCCCGAGGATGACTCCCCCGATTCATCCACTGGGGATGGCCCATGCCCTTGCTTGGCCAGAAGGCATTTTCATAGAATCACAGAATGGTTTGGTTTGGAAGGGACCTTAAAGATCATCGAGTTCCAACCCCCTGCCATGGGCAGGGACACCTCCAACCAGACCAGGTTGCTCAAAGCCCCATCCAGCCTGGCCTTGAACCCCTCCAGGGATGGGGCAGCCACAGCTTCTCCGGTCAACCTAGAGTGTTGACCAGAGTCAACACAACCTAGGGTGTCTCACCACCCTCACAGGAAAGAATTTCTTCCTAATATCTAATCAAAATCTCCCCTCTTTCAGTTTAAAACCATTCCCCCTTGTCCTATGACTCCAGCCCCTGATCAAGAGTCCATCCCCATCTCTCCTGGAGCCCCTTTAGGGACTGGAAGGTTGTGATAATTGCTCACCGGAGCCTTATCTTCTCCAGGCTGAACACCCCCAACTCTCTTAGCCTGTCCTCACAGCAGAGGGGCTCCAGCCCTTGGAGCATCTTTGTGGCCTCCACTGGAGCTATTTCAATAGGTCCATCTCCTTCCTGTGCTGAGGACATTGGAGCTGGAGGCAGTGCTCCAGGCGGAGATCTCCCCAGAGCGGAGTAGAGGGGTAGAATCCCCCACCTCGTCCTGCTGGCCACGCTTTTTTTGATGCAGCCCAAGATGCCAGGGGCTTTCTGGGCTGCCAGCGCACATCACTGACTCACATTGAGCTTCTTGTCCATCATTTTTCTCCCTTCGCTTCTGACAGTGCCCTGGGGCCTGTCCAAAGCCTGCTCAGATCCCAATACAAGCCACCAGCCATGGATTCCCCAAGTCTGTGAAGGTGGGTGGAGCTGATAAACGTCTGGAAGGCAGTGGGTGGAAATGCCGGTGGTGTTTGCACAGCCCGTGGCTGTTTGATTTAGGAGTGGCTCCTGGGCTGCAGAGCCACCAGCCCAGCTGCACCCACGCAATTCCTGAGCAGAGCTAAAGAAAAATGCCGGTGGTTTTGCTTTTCAGCAAAATTTTCACAAATTGTGCAGGCTGGGCCACAGGTCACCAGAGCAACCTGGCAATTTCCAGGAACCAGTGAAGGTACTTCAAATGACAAAAAAAATATCATCTGGTTTTCCATGACCTTTGCAAGAGTCCTGGTTTGTCTTGGTGCAACCTCTGGCAAATTCCAGGACAGATACTGGGATGCCCTGCCAAGTCTTAGCTGGAGGGAACACTGTCCACATGGGAGTTCAGAAGAGGTGCACCAAGTGTGTTGATTCTATGATACTCCCAGCTGCTTCCCCACATCCGAACTTCTCATTTCCCTTCCTGTTTTAAGCATCTAATTCTTTTTTTTCCCCATTGGATTTAGTGTATTTACTTGTAGTAGGGCATAAAACCCAAATCTGAATGTTGTTGACCCAATTCTATTAAACAGAAGCTGCCAATTCAATGTGTGAAGGAAATAAATCTGTTATAAATATTTTGATGGGTAATACTATCTTCCAAGTTGATGTATGTACCACCACAGAGATGTTCCAGCTCATTGTTATATGCATATTTATACAATTTTCAAAAAACACACATTTAATCCCCACAAAGCCATTGTCATTGCGGTTCATTTTTTGGCAGACACAAAGTTCTCACCATTAGTAAGATTATTCTCATGATTCATATTATGGTTTCTCAAACAAGGTCCAGGCACAGACTAATCCTGTGAAAAACAGTGAAAGGATGATCCATGCCTGAAAGAGCTTACAGCCTTGGAAATATCCCTCTTCCATTTGAAAAGAAAAACATGTGGGCAGAGGGAAATCTACTTTTGAAGTGTCTACAAAAGAAATGTCAGGGCCAATGGCCACCCCGAGCAGAACAGGCAGGAGGCTTGAAGCATCACTGTGCTTGAGGAGTCGGGAGAGGAATGGAGAACATCTAACTGGTTCTTCTTCCTCATCCTTCTCATGGCTCCATGACCCATATCGGTGGCCTGCCTCTCCAACAGGTCTCAGGAGCTTCCCCTTTCGAGGACATGATCTTGCTGACCTTGCTTGATCTCCTCTTCAAACATCCTCTTTTTCTCTGCTTGACAGCAAGCAGGTGGATCCCCAACAGACCATCAGTGCATCAGATGAAGCTTAGAAAGGCCCCAAGGATAAAGGAGTTCAGGAATCCAGGCCAACTGGTAACAAACATAAAGCCCAACAGAGATCCTGGGTGGAAATTCCAGCTTAATGCAAATCAAATCCCATTCCCCAAAGGGAGAAACCTCACTAACCTCCTTGAAACAGCACAGCGGTGGCCAAGACCTCTCCAGGGGGTGCAGAACAGCAGCTACAATGGAGTTGCTGGTTGTGGGAATTCCAGGACCCTGGTCGCCCGAGGCTATGGAGACTTTCATGGTCTTGGCTTTTTTGCTTCCTTCCCAAGGGAAGAATGAAATTCAAACCAGCCTCAGCTAGCTGTTACCAGCAGCATGGACTGCAAGAGCCTTGCCTCCCCCAATCCCCTCCAAAACCCTGATCCCACTTCTGCTTTTCATGGGCTGCTCCCCCACCCCCTGGTTTCCTCAGCGTGGCTTTGACCATGGGGTAAGAGGAGGACCAACAAACTGCAAGAGCGACTGTTTTCACTTAGTGCAAGCACAGAGGGCTTTGATGGAGAGTCGGATGCCTGCCCAGCAAAGCTGTGACACCAAACAGGTCAGATGTGTGGTCCTAGTAAATCCAGGAGACCACCTCTGGTGTGACCACCTAAAAAACAAGGCACCAAATCCCCACGGGCAGGCAACGGTATGCCAACGGCTTGGGCTCTGAGGACTTCTTCCTAAGGCCTCTTTTGAGAGCAGATGAATTTGGCAGTTTAAATGAAATCCTTATTGAAATGGGGGGGCGGGGAAATCCAACTGGGAGTAATTTGTATAGCAGGACTGAAAAATGCCATCTTAAAGCAAGTCATGCAGTTGGTGGGATTAAAAAATCCCAGAAGAATCACAAATAAAAACAATCAAACTTTTCACATACATGGTGACTTCCAGCCAAAATCCTTCACAGACTATCAGGCTGATTATTTGTCCCCTAATGTGCCAGCGACAGTGGCCAAGTTATAATAAAGGAGTAAAAGAGTGGGGGAACCAGACCGGTATGTTCGTCAGACTGAAGGACCAGCTGTGGTTGGCCTAGCAGTAGAAAAGGGTTGTGGACGTCAGCTAACGACTAGTCCTTTTGCTTATTGAACCCCATCACCCAGCCTTGATTCTGGTTTGGGGACACCTTCCAGATGAGCTTTTGAACCTCTTCTACTGCTCTTCACCCTTCCCTAGTGAAAAGCTTGTGGGAGCAGAGAGGTGATGGTCCACCCGTCCATCCAGTTCTGCAGCTGCAGAAGGAAAGGTTATCACCTCCAGCATCGAAGACCTCCCAAGTAGAAAGAGCCCGAACTCCACCTCTGTCGGTTATATCCAGGATA